AGTGTGCCAGCAAGTGGAGCCCCATCTTTGGAAAAGCCGATCATGCTGATTAAAACCAGAGATGAAGGGGGGAAGCCTGGGAACCCTCCTGATGTGGCTCCTTCAGTCTCAGGTGCAGGAACTGCCAAACTGGAGAGGGAAGGCCAGCGGCCGACCCAACCTGTGTATCAGATCCAGAACAGAGGCATGGGCTCAGCTGCATCCGGTGGAGCTGTGGATCGTCAGTTATTTTTTCACATTTTGCTCCTTAACATATCTTTTAATTACACACATAAGCTTTAAATGAATAGTTCATCCAAAAATTAAAATTTGCTAAAGAATTTACTACCCTCAGGCCATCCAAGATGTAGATGGAGAAGATCGGAAAAGATTTGTAGAAATTTAGCGTTACATCACTTGCTTACCAATGGATCCTCTGCAGTGAATGGGTGCCGTCAGAATGAGCGTTCAGGCAGCTAATAAAAACATCACAAGAAATTGTCACAACTCCAGTCCATGTCTTGTGAAGCGAAATGCTGCATGTGTTTAATAAACAAATCCATCATTAAGACATTTGAACTTAAAATCCAAAACAGTAAACAAATGTGTCAGTGGATTTGGATGTAAGAAGTCAACAGGGGATTTTCACTAAAATTTAAAACACCTTAATGATAGATTTGTTTCTTACAAACATGCAGCTTTTCACTTTACGTGAAGTCATTAATTAATGGATTGGAGTAAATTATTGTGATGTTTTTATCAGCTGTTTGAACTCTCATTCTGTTGGCGCCCATTTACTGCAGAAGATCCATTGATGAGCAAGTGAAATGACGATAAAGAAATTCACTCATCTACATCTTGGCTGGCCTTAGGGTGTAGTATATTTTCAGCAAATTTTCATTTTTGTGTGAATCGTTCATTTCAACCGCTATTATGGGTATTTTATGTCATGATATTTTTTGTGTGATTAACCAATCATCATACTTTACCATGTGATTTTTCAGCTGTGATTGGCCAGACTAAGCTCCTCCCCCCTGAGAAGATGAAGCACAGCATTAAGCTAGTGGATGACCAAATGAATTGGTGTGACAGCGCTATGGAGGTGAGGGCATATTTTTTTCTGTTAATAATGTTAGGTTTTGTATCTGTTGCTCTGTATAGGTGCATAACAGTCAGGTGAATGTATGCTGAATGTGTGTTTATTATGTATCAGTACCTGCGAGACCAGACGGATATGTTAGTAGTTGGGGTTATTGGGCTACAAGGCACAGGCAAGTCCACAATCATGTCTCTCCTGTCTGCAAACAGCCCTGAGGAGGACCAGAGGTTAGTCCATCATCAGCATCCTGATTTTGCATTTGTTTCCACCAATTTATTTGCCTTTCCACCTCATTGTTATCGCATTTCACCCAATGATTCTCTGTTAAACAGGGCGTATGTGTTCAGAGCTCAGACGCAGGAAATCAAGGAGAGAGCTGGGAACCAGAGCAGTGGAATCGATTTCTACATCACTCAGGAAAGGGTCATCTTTCTGGACACGCAGGTCAGACTGTAGGGTCACACAGAACAGTGCTGTTTTCTGCTTTCATGTAGTTTCCTGATAAACTAAAAGTCATTTTCATCTCTAGCCAATTTTAAGCCCCTCTATTTTGGATCATCTCATTAACAATGACCGCAAGCTTCCTCCTGAATACAGTCTCCCACATACATATGTGGAGATGCAGGTGAGTATAAGGCAATGATGCAAAACACTCTGTGCCATGTACTATTTTGCAAATAATGTTGTATTTTAATTTAACATAATATTATGTATTACTACATGCCATGTATTTATTTGAATAATTGTCACATGGACTTTTACAAATAGTATTCTATAGTTTATTTGTCATGTACTATTTTAGAATATTCTGATAATCCTACTTGACAAAAAATATTCTGTAGATTTAATTAAACTGCAATTCTCCCTTTTTTCCAACTGTTTGGTTTAGTCTCTGCAGATCACTGCCTTCCTCTTTACCGTATGCCATGTTGTGATTGTGATTCAGGACTGGTTCACTGATATCAACTTATATAGGTAATGACGTCAGTGTAACTTTCAATAATAATGACATGGAAATAAATCACCATAAGATTTGAACATTTTAATTAGCCTTCTTTTTACTTTTTTTCATTCATACATATATATATATGCTGTTATTACACAAAAATGACTTACTGACCCCAGAGTTTTGAACGGTAATGTGTATTTATACTATATACTTCAATTGTCATAGTTAATAAATAGACAATAAATTATCTTAGGGATTACAGATAGTCATGGTCAAAGGAAACTGGAGGCTCTGTGTGGCATAAAACTAACAGCTGAGTCTGTAAGCAGGTTTCTGCAGACTGCTGAGATGCTGAAACCCTCGACTCCATCTGCCAGTCATGACAGCACCGGCTCCTCAGGGGCAGATGATGGCTCTGAGTATTATCCTCACATAGGTCCGAAAACTATTAATGAGCATTATTCCTGAATCATTTACTGAGCTATAACTGGGTTGTACTTTCACGTTCATGATGTATGAATCTGCTGGCAAACAGATTTAATTTTGTGTAAGGCTTTAATGCATGTCTTTTCTTTCTATTTTCATAGTTTTTTTGCAGAACAAAGCAAGGAGGGAGGAGTTCTGTCCACGGAATCTGAAGAAGATGCATATGGCAGTTGACAAGCTTATGGCCCATTCCCACCTAAAATATAAAGGTCAGTCCACTTGGCATGACAGTAAACATGTTCATAACACCACATGATTTGGTGTGTAACTCATTGACATTTTTTCCTATTGTAGGCACCTTATCCATGCTGGATTGTAACATATTCCCAGGACTGAATCGAGATTACTTGGAGACAGAAGTCAATCTTTTCCTCTTACCTATGATGGAGAATGATGGGGAAGATGCTTTGACAAGAGCAGGTCAGAAAATAGGCCTAGTTTTTAGAACTGTAGTATTATTTCAAGGAACGAGTTCAAAAAGTGAGTTATAACCAAATGTTAGAAAAGTCCGTTCAGTACTGCTGTTGATTATGTTTTTGATGTTTATGAATTGTATGTTTTGTTTTTGTTTTATTATTTTATAGCTATTTTTATAGCTAAATTATTATGGACTTTTCCACTAATTATTTCCATTAAGAATGAACTTAATTTGCACTGGATCTGTATCTTTTGTGCACCAGGTTCAGGTCCCCCTCTTTTCTCTCTGCTGCCTGGTTACAGAGGTCATCCCAGCTTTTCTTCACTGGTTTCTAAATTCCGCAGTCAGATCTTGGCTATGTCCCGCAGTCAGCTCTCACACACAATCCTCACTGAGAAAAACTGGTAAGGCACACCCTGACACATAATGCTTTTGTTCTTCCTTTTGGAACTGAATTCTTTGTGTACATTTTTACATCAGTTTGAAAGTAATATTTAAATTAAGAAAGTATTAAATAATATTATTTCATTTTATCTGTGTACATCAGGGGTGCCCAAACTCGGTCCTGGAGGGTCCTGCAGAGTTTAGCTCCAACCCTAATCAAACACACCTGATGCAGCTAATCAAGCTCTTATAGGCATACTAGAAACTTCCAGGCAGGTGTGTTGAGGCAAGCTGGAGCTAAACTCTGCAGGACACCGGCCCTCCAGGACCGAGTTTGGGCACCCCTGGTGTACATTTTAAGATAATGGATGACTGCATTTGTTTTTACAGGTTTCATTATGCGGCTAGAATTTGGGATGGTGTTAAGAAATCATCTGCGCTCTCTGAATATAGCCGATTACTGTCATAGTCATGATGGTCTCACAATACCTGTGAGTTCATTGTTAAAGATGATTTCAGACAAGAGGCAGATCCCTAAGAGAAGACTGGGCCACAGAAATGCAGTAGCGCTGAGTGAGGTTTAACCATCTTCTTCTGTGAGGTCTGGATCACAGCAGCGGAGTGCTTTGTGGTTTGGGAGCTTTGCATGAGTTAGTTGTTCTATGAAAATTAGCAGGTGCCTGCAAGGGTCCATCCAGTCATGTGTTAAACTCATTGTTATTACAAAAGATAATATGCAAAGATTCAGTGATTTAAACATTTTCTTTATACAGTAAAAATGTGCAGACGCCTTTGATTTTCATATTTTATTCGGCTTATGTAGATAAAACGGTATGACAGCACACATTGCTTTTCAGATATGTGTTTGAATAAAAACTTGTAACTTAGATTCAATTACAGCATGATTTTATGTATGGTTAATGAAATAAAAAATAATAAAAGATGTAATCAGTCCCATCTTTATTTGCTAGGTGGTTTAATCAGAGTTTGATCAATATTGCATTATATAATTATATGCAATATTGGGGGGGGGGATGGCAAAATCATGATCAATTATTGTTTATTATCAGATATTATTACTGGGATATTATAATTACAAGATAACATTCACTGTACACTGAAATGTATGATATAGGAAAAATTACTAGTAAAATAATTTGTGATTATTTGTTTATATAAATGTATTGTTTATTAAATGTGTTTCAGCAACATAGCATCAATGAATATATAAAATCGTATTGTAGACTAACAAAAGACACCTGTAACCAGAAAGCTATATGGGGGGAAAAAAAAGATGTTGCGCATGCGCAATACATACAGTTGTCCGGTGTCATGACAAATCGGGTCCTCCCTGGAAATCGGGTCTCCGTCATCTATCAGTTAATTATCCTAAATACATGTGAACGATATTAATGTAAAAACGTATGGCTTACTATATAGTGCATAATTATGGAAGCGTATTGCATTCACTTGAGGAAAAAAAATCTACTCTGTTTTTCTGAATTAACGAGTTAATTATCTCAGAATTACGAGATAATTTTTCATGAAAAAAAGTTTTTGCTCTGTTTTTCTGAATTAACGAGTTAATTATCTCAGAATTACGAGATAATTTTTCATGAAAAAAAGTTTTTGCTCTGTTTTTCTCAATAACGAGTTAATTATCTCAGAATTACGAGATACATTTTTCTTGAAAAACATTTTTTTCACTCTGTTTTTATGAATTAATGAGATCCCTCAAAATCCTGCCAGGAGCTCTATTTTAGCTGGATTGCATGGAAGTAAACATGTCCCGCCTTTCAAGTTTAATCCGGTTTTATTTTACTTTGGGTTTGAGACATTGGGAGATACTGCTGTCTTTAAGTAATATAAATGGTATTGTTATTAGTGCGTCAACTTTGCGCAGACACCTCAAGACTTTGCGCCTGTTCAGACGAAAAGAACATTCTGATCTGCTTGACATTGCTGTGTTTCTCCAGGATCAGTTGAACCGATATGGTATGCTTCACGGATATAAGATGATGCATCTGAAATGCATTCAGGCTGGCTACGTGGTGACACAAGAGACAATCAGGCAATTGTTGAAAATACTGGATCCCCATGGAGTGCAACTGAGGCGCCGGAATCGTCTTCGGCGACGTTTGTATCATAATCCAGGCCCGAACTTTTTATGGCATGTTGATTCATATGATAAACTCAAACCATATGGGATCTGCATCAATGGTGCAATCGACGGGTTTTCACGAATGATGATATGGCTACATGCATACTCTACAAGTAGTGATCCCAAGGTCATCGCTGGATACTTTATTGATGCGGTGTTATCAAGGAATGGGACAGCCACCCGAATTCGCTCAGACTTAGGGACAGAGAATTGTTACATGGAACAGATGCAGATGTTCTTGAGACATGATCATACGGACTATTCGAGAAATTGCTATTTGTATGGCTCAAGCAATCATAACCAACGGATAGAGCATTGGTGGGGATTTTTGAGGAAGCAGCATGCACAGTTCTGGATCAACCTATTTCAAGATCTAAAAGATTCTGACGACTTCTCCGGTGACTTCCTAGACAAAAGTCTAATACAGTTCACATGTCTTGAAATAATAGAGGTAAGAAATGTGCTTTAGACATGTAAATTGTGATATGTTATTCAGCTATAGATTTTGTCAGTACGCCAAAATGTTGTGACATGCAGCATAATTATCTCATTTCATAGGTCTAACAACTGTTCCATAACAGAAGCAAATGGGCGATAACCATTAGTTATTTAATTAGATTATTAAATTAATTTGTAGATCACAATTTTTCCTACATATAGTTGACTTTTAAAGAGATAAGTGGATCTCAGTATAAGTAGTTAGAATTAGCAGCAGCCTACATCTACAACAATAAAATGCAACACAAACATTAATGCAGCTGTAATATTAATCCTGTTATATGGATGTTGCACAAACTGCTATCTAATATTAACCCAAAAACATCATAATAGTAAAACACTGACAAGGAAAATTTACCGCACTATGAGTAGCCTACTTTTATTCATTTCATTCTGGTACTTTTATGTACATTTTGGTGAAAGAAAATTGTTTCTCTCCATTAGTGGGACACAGTATGTGAGAGAGGGATGACTTATCTGACCCTGATCATATAACACAAATCTTAACATACAGAGATTTATTGTTTTCAAATATAGAATTTAACATGCATGAAACTGTTTGAGAAACGGCTCTACTGTATCATACTGGACCATAAGCATTTATTTTGCCTGCAGGTGGTATTGCAACGGTGTGGACTAATTTTCTTACTTTCCCACTCTTTTTCTTTATATTTAGAGAGAACTGCAGGATGTTGTTCACCTCTGGAACACTCACAGAATTCGCCCATCCAGAAATGCTGTGTCTCCAGGTGGACGTCCAGTGATGATGTACACCCTACCCCAACTTTTTGGTGCTAGGGAGTACCTTAAAGAGGCATCCCAACAGAAGATACAGGCTTGTAGGGAGGAATGTCGTGAGAGAGGACCATATCCCTGTGATAATACAGTGTTTGACATTTGTTGCCTTGCCATGGCAGAAAACAGTCTTCATCCACCAACCTCTCCAGAGGAAGCCATTGATCTTTACATGTTCTTACGTGCTTACATACGTACCCAAATTTAATAATCACAAGTTGTTCTACTGGATCAAATGACTGAATGTGAGCACCCACTCATAGCCAAAAAAACAACAGAATTGCAGTTTGGACGGAAAAGGTTATATACCATGACATTCACTGTAAATGTTTGACAGAAGTACTGTGTTTAAGCAATCAATAATAGACAACTCTTTCATAATTGACATCTCCCAACTGAGCTTCATATCATCTCTTTTTATTCATCATTATGTAAAAAGTACATCTCAACCACAGAACTGGGAACAATCCTGTACCTGCAAATGAAAGGTATCACATGTTGCCATTGTCAAAAATGGCACATTTGTCCTTATGGTGGAACTATTTCGTATCACCAGATGTGGTCTGACACACTTTGGGCTCATTGTAAACAGGGCAACCTACATGATGTTTGGATGGCCTTTAAATCAAACATATTATTGTATCTTGTTATCATGTGTCTCTGGGCTGCACATAAAGCACTTTTTTTTACACAATTATTTGTGTACCCTCATCAAGGTATGCTTCCTGAAAGTCAACAATGTTGTGACTGAACTCTTCCCACTTTCCCTTTCTCGATTTCTCATTGGGGAAAAATAGCTTTTTAGCTTGTGATAGAATCTCTGTTTTTGTGGCTTTCTTGGAAATATCAAGAACTCTGGTTCCTCCACCATTGCGTTTTCTCACTTGTTTCTTGTCGTGTATCCATCCTAGTTCTATTTTCCTTGTCATCTTCACGGCCCTTTTGTTATTTCTCAGATGTATCTTTGTTGGCTGCATAGAATGCTCCTCCTCAAAATCTTGATCTGTGTCTTTATTGCTTGTCAATGTGCCCATCTTTCTTCTAAGTTTTTCAAATAAGGACAGTCTTTTTAGATCATCACCACCTTTTCTCTGTTTTTCCATACAGAAACGCCTTGTAGCAATCCTATCACCATATGCTGGAATGTAAGCAGTCATAGTGGCATCATCTATTTCTCCAACTACCGAGCTGTCAATCTGTAATGAAAACAAAACAATACAGTAAGACATATTGGTTATCTTAAATCTAAGAGATGGCTATATTTCCATATGAGTGAAAATTAATTTCTTAGCAGTAGCTACAAATCAGCAATTTATTTCTATTTTTCTTCACTTGCTTGTTTCTTTTTTCGCATGGGAATAAAAAGGAGCTAAAATATTAAGTAATTTAAAACAAAAACTGCTGTCTAAAAAAAATGGTTGTAACCATAACAATGAAGTTTGAGTGACATAATGATGCTGAAAATACAGTGTATTAACAGTGAAAATCCTTGACATCAAAGTTAGGCAGGGGACTGATTACTTTCATGTATTCCTCTTTAATATATAACCATTTACCTCAATTACAAGAAAAGCACTTCTCCCATATATTACTGCTATTATGTACTCCATAATATTGCTATTCCATATTGATTCCATACTTCAGCTCCCAACCAAGGCCTGTGCTGGCATCTAAACATTACTCCATCCTTTTAAAACAATATCAAATCACAACAAAATGGAAAGCAGTAATTGTAAGGGCACAATAGTAGTGATAGCCGGGAGCTTATGTCAACTTGATTGATGAGTTTGACCTTTTGACCCATAATTATATCCATATGCGACCTTTGACATCATAATTGTTTCCATATGCGAAAACCGGCGTGCGTGAAATCCGTCCGTCAACCCAGATGCCAAATGATGTTTGTACAGCTGTATGAAAGAGCCCAAGGATGACAGGTGATAAATTAAGGAATGTTTTGAAGATATTATTGATCGTTCCCATATCCGGACTCTCATGTGCGGACATGTCCGTGGTATCAGGTTGCAGTGTCATGCTCGCGCTCTCTCTCACTCTGGGAACTGTGATTAAAAACAAGGAAGTGTTGATGAACAATAAATAAACTATTTTAACAGATCGTGAGATCGTATCACAATGTGTGTGTGTGTGTGTGTACTGATGTACATAATCTGACGGCAGTATTAAACGTTTCTCAGCATATGAATGAAATTGGGGATAAATCAATAAAAATATAAACTGTCTTACATTTATCAGGGAGAGAACGTCTTCCTCGTGCAAGTATCGCGATTCTTCAAATGAAATGTTTCCCAAAATCGTGTTTGGTTTAAAATGAAAGCAGAAATCTTTCTTTGAGATTGTCTCACTCCCCCTCTGCCTGCGTGCTCACGGCTCTCTCTCTCTCTATCTGTCTGTCTGTGTGTGTGTGTGTGTGTGATCTAGTGATGAGATTTATCATTTCGCATGTGGAATTAGAAACAAGGCTCTATCTATCACATCAAAACTGATCTTTTTTTCTTCATTTAAATACTGATTTATACGGAAGCGTATTGCATTCACTTGAGGAAAAAAAATCTACTCTGTTTTTCTGAATTAACGAGTTAATTATCTCAGAATTACGAGATAATTTTTCATGAAAAAAATGTTTTTGCTCTGTTTTTCTGAATTAACGAGTTAATTATCTCAGAATTACGAGATAATTTTTCATGAAAAAAAAGTTTTTGCTCTGTTTTTCTGAATTAACGAGTTAATTATCTCAGAATTACGAGATAATTTTTCATGAAAAAAAAGTTTTTGCTCTGTTTTTCTGAATTAACGAGTTAATTATCTCAGAATTACGAGATAATTTTTCATGAAAAAAAAGTTTTTGCTCTGTTTTTCTGAATTAACGAGTTAATTATCTCAGAATTATGAGAATAATCTTCATGAAAAAAATTATTTTGCTCTGTTTTTCTGAATTAACGAGATCCCTCAAAATCCTGCGAGAAGCTTTCACCTGCACGAAGTAACGTCAGGCCACAGTTGCTGATGCTAATCAGCCTGACCCTCCAACAACAACAACAACAACAGTGCCAGGCCTACATGGGTTCTGTGCATGTAAGATAGCTAAGTTATTATAGTTACATGTTAATGCCAAATGATGTCTGCTACCTGTTCGCTTGACGACATGTACAACGAGGTTAGAATAGCTGTTTATAAACATGTAACGTTAATGTTACGGGCATATTTTTTACTAATTCATAAAAAGTGAAAAAAATGTTTTTCAAGAAAAATGTATCTTGTATCAGAAAAACAGAGCAAAAACTTTTTTTTCATGAAAAATTATCTCGTAATTCTGAGATAATTAACTCGTTAATTCACATTAGGATATTAGGTAAAGATGATGTTCCTTGAAGATATTTTGTAAATATATCAAAACTTAATTTTTGATTAGTAATATGCGTTGCTAAGAACTTAATTTGGACAACTTTAAAGGCGATTTTCTCAATATTTTGATTTTTTTTTTGCACCCTCAGATTCCAGGTTTTCAAATAGTTGTGTCTCGGCCAAATATTGTCCTATCCTAACAAACCATACATCAATGGAAATTATGTATAAATCTCAATTTTAAAAAAATTGACCCTTATGACTGCTTTTGTGGTCCAGGCTCAAAAATTTGTGCATAATGAAACAAATTATACATAATCTCTTACACTTGATTTCCTGCTAATTAATAAATTAAACTAATAATACCCCATTAAGTGAATAATTGAACATCATTAATTAGTTTTATTTATAAAATAAAACTTTGGACATTTAACACTTAATTTAACACATAAATTAAAAAAGAAGTATGAATACATGTAGGGTAAGTGCAAATTCCTGTATAAACTAAGTTATCAGGCTAATCGGGTATATGTATGCTATGCTAGCACATAAGCTAACTAATACAGACATTAATTGTCGTTAAAACGGCATTTATCATAACACTATTTTGTAGGAATTGTAATCAGGCGCTAAAGAGAGTACCTATTAAGTTTAATTTGAGCCAATGGGATCGCTTGGGGTCCTAATGGAGACCGGATTTCGAGGGGGGACTCGATTTGTCACCACACCGGACGAATTTAGGAGACGGACTCGCGCGTGCGTACATGTTTGTGGGAGGAGCCAGCACCGAAACACGAAAATTATTAATGAAATCATTATATTGTAAGTATACGCGTTTATATGGAGGTCTCTCTCGTTTTCAGCTCCTCTTACATACTATAAAAGGTGTGAGAAACATGCTACAATGAAAGGTCTGGCACTAGCTTATATCTTGTCCTTTTAAATGTCAGGTTGTTTATACAGGTTAAGAGAGTTTATTTATTATTTAATAAAGTGTTATATCTGCCTGACGTAACGTCACTGTTTTACTTTGACAGAAAAAAACTGAAAAATCTAACTGCACAAACACAGACCACACCCTCTAAAGTTTCTGGAACAAGATTCAAACTGATTTTATATTTCAGGAAGAGACACTAATAAGCTGCACATGATACGGTAATGCAGGTGTATATGTAATGTATAGGTAGACTGCAATATTGTTGCACCATTTGTGTGTGTGTGTGTGTGTGTGGTGTGTGTGTGTGTGTGTGTGTGTGTGTGTGTGTGTGTGGTGTGTGTGTGTGTGTGTTGTGTGTTGTGTGTGTGTGTGTGCTGGTTACCTATAGTTTTTTCTTACTGTTTCAGCCTAAAGGAAGCTGCACAAGAGTTGTCATGGAAATCTTACCATTTGAGGAGGTGGAGCGTGTTGCTGGTGCCAAAATACAGCTGCAGCAAGGTGGTGTCACTGGTATTCAACAGTATGTAAGTGGTGCAATTAATTACCCTTACATGAGGAAACGTCTAAAAACAAATCTCTTTCAATGAACTTGCAGTGAAACACACAAATTCTGGTTTGACGTTCTCATTTGTACTAAGCAGTTACTTGCTGTATTAATAGTGTTTTTCTAGCAGAAGACTTTCTGAATTACAATTCAGTTGCTGATTTGCAATTGAATGACATGCTTGCCATCTGCTGACCATCTCAGTCATGCACATGCGCAAAAACAAAAAGCAAAATAGGACTGGCATTTACTCACTTTGTTCTGATTTTTAGATTGGTTTTCTTGATATGTCAGAAGTGTTATTTAGACAAGTTTAGGGATCTGTTCTAATATTTCTGTTGGAATGCACAGTCAAAAAGATGGTTGCTA